CTGATGGGGTTTGGAGCGGTGACCGGATCACAAAGGCTCCAACTTCCTTAGTGTGTTCATCCATGGGTGGATTCCTAATTTGATGATGACATTGGCAGGTGATGGAAATAGGAAGTGGGGCCTAGATGAAGGGAGTGGGCAATGGGCGTGGCCTTGGGGACTGTGTCTTGTCTCAGCCCCTCCTCTCTGGCTGCCTTGCTGTCTCTTTGCTTCCTGGCCACTATACTGTGAGCAGCCTTCTTCCACCATACTCTTTCACCGTGATGTTCCTGCCTCACCAGAGTCCTAAAGCAAAGAGCCAACTGGCCCTAGACTGAACCCTCTGAAACCACGAGCCAAACTAACACTCCCGGCTTTTAAGTTGATTCTCTGGTATTTTGTCCCAAAGCCAACCAACACAAGCAGCTCCCTTGTCTACCCTTGGGCCCTCTTAGCCCTTTCAGGTAGGCACAGCTCTCATCCCCATGACCCGGAGGAGGAAGTGGGGATGACACCAGCACCTCTGTCCCCATGAGGCCAGCCCTGGGCACCCGACATGCAGCCCAGACACCATCTTTGCAGGGTGCCCTCCCCAGTCCCTCTCTCCTGGAGTCCTTAGCCACTCTCCTGCAGCACTGCACCTCCTAGCGGTGGTCATTCCTTCATGGACCAGTGCCACCCAGGGGCCTGCTCTGTGATGGGCACTGAGGGACAACACGGAACAGAGGAGAGGTGAGTCCCTGCTGCCCGGGGCTTTGATGGGGAAATGACACGGTGGACAGTTGTGTGGGTGTGGGCTTAGGGCCACAGCACAGTGGTGGCACAGAGCCTGGGGACGGCCCTGTGGCCCCTGAGGGGACAGGACAGCCCCAGAAATGGCCTAGGGCTGGGTGGAGAGGAGGGAGCAGGGCCAGGCCATGTCTGATTGTCCCTAACCCTTGTATCCCAGCAGTGTGCGGTCTCCATGTCCCCCATGCTACCAGGCCTGCAGCAAGCATGCAGTATGTTTTTATGGGAGAAATATTCAAGCAAATGAGTGTTACTTGAGGCCAACTTTTTTATTCCTGTGGTACCGAAGACTGAACACAGGACCTTCGCACTGAGCTACATCCCCAGTAACACCCTCTTTTTGTTTTACTTTTTTTTGAAATAAGGTCTCCTTAAGTCACTAAGTTGCCCAGGTTGGGCTCAAATTTGCCATCCTCCTGCCTCAGCCTCCCAGATTGAGATCAACTTTGGATGACCCCAGTGAGGCCACCATTGACCAGAGCCCACATGGGATATGTGTGCTGTGAAAAGTCACAGTTTGTGTGTCAGTTGAGGTCAACAGCATGAAACAAAACCTGCCTCATGGTGGCTTAAACCAAGGAGGGGGGGGGCCTGAGGTTGCCTGTCCCACACCCCTGCCTGGCCCCTGTGGCTGCCAGGGCCTCAGTGTGAACCTGGCATGGGGCTGCGACACCCAATCTCTGCTGGCCCTCCTGTGGCTCCCACTGTCTTCTCTCCTTTACGCTTGTCATTTGACCCAGGTCCCCAAATCCTGGGTGTCTTCATCTTGGGACCCTTAGTTCAGTCTCAAAGGCGCTTTTCCGAGTGAGTCTGTCCGGGCTGCCCTAACCTCAGCACCAGACCAGTGGCGTTGGTTTCTCCCTCCTCTGGAAGCCAGAAGCCTGAGACCGGGGTGGCGTGGATGCATCCTGCCCGGGCGCTGCCAGGCTGCAGTCTGCTGACTTCTCACCTCGTTCTCCATGGTGAAGAGCAAAAGCTCTGCTGAGCACAGGCCCAGAGAGGGTGGGCCACTTCCCCCCAGTTGCACAGCAGAGAGGGGATTTCAGCCCTGGTCAGAGTGGCCCAGAGTTCAAGCCGTGTCTCCGTCCCTGTGTAGCCAGAGCTCTGTCCCCACTCTGTGCATCAGACTCTCCAGCCCTCTTTATTCCACATTAGCTTCTCTGTCTCCTAGTAGCTGGAGTTGAACTGGGTTTTGAGAGCTGCTCTAATTCCTGAGCCCTCATGGAGCCAAGGTCAGCGCCCTGCTGCCTTCCTGGCAATCTCTGCCCTTCGGAACCCATGGATGGGCGGATGTCTTTGCCTGGACCTCCCACAACTCTAGTCCCAGCCTCATGTTCTCAGCACAGTGCAGTGAGTCTGCTGGATGCCAGCCCCCAGCCCTCGAGGCAGCTGTTGGTGAGGACGTAGCAGAGAAGTGGAGACGAGAGGCCCGCGGCGCAGTGGCCTTGTCTTGCCTCTCCTGTCTGCCTTCTTTCGTGGGCTCCGGGGTGCAGAAATCAGCCTGGATCCCCACCACGCCGGCCTTCCTTTGCACGAGGCGTCTGTGCCTGCCTGAGTTTCTTTCTTATTTTCCAGTTTGCTGCCAATGGGAGTTCCACAGACCTTCAACCTCATGCCATCGATTGGATTTTTTTGGAGGTTTTGTGACATGTGCTGTTTAATTCAAGTGACATTTGTCACCTTCCTCATACTTCCTTGTTCTCCTTGAGGTTCACCCCATGGTGCAGGGTGAATCTAACTCGGTTCAGGGAGGACCAGAGCTAGAGTCAGATGCAGGCTTGGCCTCTCTGTCCTATCTCTGTCCCTGGAGATTACCAGCTCCTCAGAGATTATGTGGGTCTGACATCCAGCAGAAGAGCAACCCATGGAGCCAGGAGAAAACCTGAGCTCTAGCCTGGTCCCCCTGCCCACTGTCTTCCTGCCAGGGTCTTCCAGTGCACCCCTTTCCCAGGAGACAGGGAGCCTGAGCTTCAGGCTTGAGCCTAGAGCAAGGACTGGGCCCTCCTTTCCCTTATCTGTGGGGTAGGGATAGGAATAATACCAGGACTATTTGAATAGCATCCCCCAAATTGGAATCCTCCTGAAACCCCAGAACCTAACCTTATTTGGAGGCATAGTAATCTCCCTTAAACCTTGGGGGATATGTTCTCAGACCTCCAGTGGTAAATGCCTGAGACCTCAATAGTACCAAACTATTCATACTGTATTTTTCCTATACATGCCTTCCAGTGATAGAGTGATAATTTATGGGTCAGGCACAGTCAGAGATCGCCAACAATAACATAATACAATGGAACCATCTTAATAATTACTGTAGTAAGGGTTATTTGAATGTGATCTTTCCTTTTCTCTCTCAGTATACCTTATGGTCCTCTGCTTGCCCCACTTGTGATACTATAAGATGGCACAAAATGAAGGAGGTGACACAGCTTCAGGCTAGTGTGTAAGGGCTACTTGGACCCAGGCAACGTGGCATCACATCAGTCTATATGACCACCTGGAGGGCTGCCAAATGATTATCGTGTGGGTAGTATATACAGCATGGATACGCTGGCACAGGGATGATGCATACCCTGGAAGGGTAGAGTGGGACAATGTGGGATTTCACTGTGGTACTTAGAACAGCATGATATTTATTCATCTCTGAAATTTTCCATTCAGGATTTTCAGGCAATAATTGACTGTAGGTTACTGAAAACAAAGAAAATAAAGTATAGGTTTTTTTGCAGATATAAGTATTTAAGATGGGTCATACTGGATTAGAGTACACCATAAACTGCTGTGATTGGTGTCCATATTAAAAGATGCAAATTTGGGTCCTGAGACAGACACAGAGGCGGGGGAGCCAGGTGTCCTCCCTGTGATCCTTCAGAGGGAGCTGCCCTGCCTGCACCTTGAACTTGGACTTTTGGTCCCCAAAGCTTGGAGACCACATGTTCCTTCTGTGTAAGCTGCCTGACCTGTGGCACTGAGGGAAGGGACACTGTTCCTCACCACACTGTTGGAAAGAGTGGATCCCCAGGCCTGCTACTGTTCCTGTTCTAGGCCATGTGGCCCACGTATGTCTCTGGCCATGCGTGACTCTGAGGCACCACCCGTGCCCCATCCCTGCTGCACTGCACCCCCTTGCCCTTGGCCCATCCTGTCTTTTCGTGCTCTCCTACATGGATTCCTGGGCAGATCCATCTCAAAAGCCTGTCCCCACCCCACCCAGGGACTCACTCTTCGTCACCAGACATGAGTGTGAATCCTACCCCAGCATGCAGTGGCTTCAGGGAATGTGGCAGGTTCATCATGACACCTGGGCTTCTCCCACTAGAGGGAGGGTGGAGGCGTGCCCCACAGATTACAGAGTTGATCAGAGACAGTTGTCAGTACCTGGCCTGCACCAGGGCTCACACTACGCGGGGCTGTCATGGCTCCCCAGAACCTGGCACCATGGCTGGCATTCCCCAGAAGGAGGGTCTGAGGGAAGGAAGAGGAGACAAAGAAACCTCCCGGTGAACTGGGCAGGGAATAGGGGAGGAGCAGCAGGAGGACCCGTGCGAGGAGGAAAGTCAGGCCTGTTCCCCACCAGCCCTGGCCTACTGCGGAGGCAGCAAGAAACACCAGCCTTCGACTTCCCACCCAGCAGACAAGGGCACCTGGGTGCTGGACCCCTTCCCTTCAGTAAAGGGCTTGGGTTGAGAACACTGATTTTCTGGCATTGCTGCTCTGTTGCCTGGGCTGGAGTGGGCTCTGCTTGGCAGGGAAGTGTCCCCAGGCAGAGGGGAGACAGATGCCAGGCAGGTGTGCTCCGAGGTGGGGAAGGCACAGGAATCACTCAGGCACAGATAGGGTTTGCAGCTCCCATGCACACCTGTGCTCCAGGGCTGTGTCACTGGACAGGTCCTCAGCGCGCCTGCATGTACACAAATGTCCCAGGGGCACAAATGTCACTAGGACAGGGTCTGGCACAGGGTGTGCACACGCGAGTTCCAGGGCTGTGGTTGCTGGTGCCCTTGCCTGCTTTCCTCCTGCTTCGAGCTCTCCAGGTCACACTGCAGCTTCTGGCTCCTGAACCTGCTCCTGCTTCCCCAGCAGAGCTGCTGATACTAAAGGGATGACGCTGGGCCCATGCCACGCTTGACAGGCGCAGGGAGGTTTGGGCTTCCAGGTGCACAGAGGAGACTGGAGCCCGGGTGTGAAGCGCAGGGAGGGGCTGACCTTGCTTTTCGTGTTCTGCTGGTCAGGTGTGCATCGTGCAGAAGCGAGACACGAAGAAGATGTATGCCATGAAGTACATGAACAAGCAGAAGTGCATCGAGCGCGATGAAGTGCGGAACGTGTTCCGGGAGCTGCAGATCATGCAGGGGCTGGAGCACCCGCTCCTGGTCAACCTGTGGTGAGTGGCTGTGCCAGCTCTGGACGCCCCGTCCCTACTGGATGCACCCCCTTGCCGCTGCGCACCCTATCTTTTCGTGTTCTCTTTCTGCATGGATTCCCGGCCAGGTCCATCCCAGCCCGCCTGTCCCCAGCCCACCCAGGGACTCACGCTCTGGTCATGCGTCATGGGTGTGAGTCCTGCCCTGCGGTGTGTGGCTTCAGTGAGCATGGCCATGAGGCGGGGATGAGATGCCCAGGTTCCAGCGTCCAGGGCCCTTGCCGCCTTCGCTGGCTGCTGAAGTCTTAGGCCTGTGTTTCGTGTTCAGTTTCACTCTGTTCTCTGATCTGAGGAATCTGGGCTGAAGATAGGTTTAACAGAGAAGGTTTTGTGCATTGGAGAAAATACATGGCATGTGGTGAGACCATGCCTCGTAGCATCTTCACAGGGAGTCCAGCTCTTCAGAAGGTCACTTCTGTTGTGCCAGTCACAGGAGGACAACTGGGAGCCCGAGTTTCACTCCATGCAGAGGGAGCACAGCATGGATGGATGTGCTCAATTCCAGGTCCTGAATCTGGCCCACAAGGCCTGTCGTAATCCGCATTCCAGAACCTTCTTTATTTTGAGACAGGGTCTTGCTAAGATCCCCAGGCTGGGCTAGAACTTCCCATCCTCCTACCTCAGCCTTCCAGAGTGCTAGGATTACAGATGTGCACTGCCTGTATGAAGCATCTCCTTTTCCTGGAGACCTTGCGTCCCCATTTCCTTCAGTGACCCATCCAGCTCCTGCACGTTCCTGGCTCAAGCATAGGTGCCCCCAGCACAGGAGCTGTGGCCGCCACATGGGCTGGGTGAGCGTTCCTCATGGCCTCTGCCTTGCCCGTGTGGACCCAACACAGCCTTTGCCACCGAGCACCCACATTGCTGGTTTTCTCACCGTCTCTGAGAAATGCCTCCTCCTGGGAAGCTGGGCTGCTTCCTGTGCTTCCCTCTGGGAGTCTAACCCAGCCTCCACAGGGCCAGCTCCTCGAAGTTTCTTAAGCTGGATTTAGTGGGAGGAGTGAGGGCTGGCTGCTCTGGGAAAGGAATTCAGAGTGGCTCCTTCAGCAGCTGCGTTCACTCCTGACCTTGACGGTGGCAAGGCGACCCCGATGGGAACGTCCACCATGTGCTTCTTGCTCGCTTGCTGGCTCCGGTGAGGTCCACGCTCTTCGTACCCAGAGGCACTTGGAGCCTTAGGTGGGTGAAGAATAAGAGGGCACACAGGTCTTTCTGTCTGGGAAAATCAAGGTGGGTGTGGTGTGGGCCCCAATTTGGCATTTCCACGTGGAAAACCCTGGCCAGATATGGGGCATCAAGTCTGGGTAGGTACAGAAAGTTATTCATCCGACTCTTCCATCATTTGGGGGAAGTAACCTTACTATTTTGATACTGGACAAGAGAATTTAAAAAAAATAAATTTCTTTTGTTTTTTTGGTACCGGGGATCAAACTCAGGACCTTGTGCTTTCAGGCAGGCGGTGGAACCACTGAGCTAAATCCCTGGCACAAAAAGAAATAAATTTCTAATCAGAAAAATAACCTCCATTCTTTGCAAAATACAGAAGATAAAGTATATAAGAAAGCGACAATGAGCCAGAATCCCACCAGGCCTGCATATTTCCACCTGTTTTGCAATGAAGCCAGTCTCCTGAGCTTCAGACAAACACAGCAAGAGAGAATGAAAAAGAAAAATCACCCCAGAGAGGGAGGGTGGCCTGGGGAGGGCGCTGGAGCAGAGGACAGGGGCTCAGCACGTGGCTCCAAGGTCTGACCTCCCGTCCAGTCCCAGCTCCACCTCACCAGCCCTGAGGTCGCCACGGACCAGTGCGCGCGTCCCTGATTGGTAGACTGGGTCCCTAACTTCACAGTAACCATATGTGGAAATGGGGAATTGTGGAGGTGAATATGGCTGAAGTCATAGAGGGAGGCCGTAATCTGCCAAGATGGTGGCTGATGCGAGGGAGAGAAAGGAAGCTGAGAACACAGTGAGAAGGTGGCCGTCGGCAATCCCGAAAGAGACTCCTCAGCAGGCCTGGATGCAGCTGCTGCCCTGAGCCCAGAAGCCCAGCCTGCAGAGCTGTGAGAACCATGATGCCAGTCCGCTGGTGTTGGTGCAGCAGCTGGAGCTGGTAACACTGAGACCGTAAGAGTAAGGCCATTTGCCTGTCAATGTCTGTTTCCTTATTTGTAAAACAGAAATGAAAGAATAAAGAAGTCCTCAAGTTGTTCTATAAATTAGACAGGTGATGTGTACTCTTGGCCACTTTCCTCCTGGCTGAGACACAACATAGGACCCCCACAACTTAAAGGGAAAGAGGTGTACTTAGGCTCATTTCAGTCCCCAGTCTGCTGGCTCCAAGGCAGGGCAGCACGGCGAAGGGGCCTGGTGGAGGAGAGCTGCTCACGGCTTGGGGCCCAGGAAGCAGAGAGAAGGGAGGGACCAGGAGGGAGATGAACCCTTCCAGGCCACGCCCCAGTGACGCCTCTTTCCACAGGCCCCGCCTCCTAACACCCAGCCAGCTGTGATATCCTTGTAATCCAGTCACCTTCCGAAGGTCCTGTCTGTGATCCCAGGAGGCTTTAGGGGGTCATCTAGTAGAAACCAAGTATCCCTAAGTCTAGGACAGGCAGAACCACCCAGGAAGGCCTGCTGGGTCACTTGTGTCCGAGGTCAGTTCTGGCTGGCTGAGCCCTTAGCAGTCAGGTGGCTCCGGTCTCGGGGTGTGGACTGTGTGCATCTCCTACAGCACCGGATGTGGAAGCTTTCAGTTTCCTGAGCTTTCAGTGCCAGACTATTTCCTGAATGAAGGTTCATGAGTAGGTGGTTCATGCGTGTTTTCATACTGTGTCCAAAATTCATTTCCATTTCCCCATTTGGCTGTGTTTACTAGACTCATTGTTCAGATGCTTTGTTTACAATCAACAAAGGGGCACCTGCTGCTCTGTCAACACAACTTGACTGGAAACACCTGGCCGGTGTGTTGGGGCTGGCGACCACAGATTCCTGAAGCTGGCACAGCACTTCTAACTGCCCTTTGTTTCTAGAGCCTTCTGTGAGTGGTAGTCAATACCCAGATGTCTACATGTCACTGTGAGCCAAGAAAGCCACAGAAATCGGTAGCAAGGTCTTAAGTGTTGAGACCTTCAATTAAGAGGAAATTAAATAAATATTTAAGGGCAGAGCTGCCCTGGCTGAAGCAGGGGGCAGCCAAAGAGGCTGGGGGAGCACATTGACTGGAGGTCCCTGGGGACCCGTGACAAAGGATTTATCTGCAGCTGCCAAGCTGCATCGTTCTATAGAAGTCATCGTCACTGGCTCTGGCTGTGGCTCCAGCCTCTTAAGTTGCATTCCAAGCTTCAGCCACAGTTACCTGTCCCCACTTTGCCCTATGGGAGGCAAATCTTGTTTATCAAAGGGCCAACTGAGCCTGCCACTCCTCTGCCAACGGTGCCATGGGGGCTCCCCGCAGGCCCCAGAATAAATGCCCTTGTGTGATGCGGCCTCTGCCACCATGTCCAGTCCTGCTGCCATCTTGGTTCCTGGGAGTGGCAGCCACTCTGATGGGCTTGTGGAGTGTTTGATACATATGTGCTGCTGTTCTTACCCCTCCATTCTCTCACACACGCTGCTGCTCAGCCTGGAATGTGTATCCCCCCTCCCCTGGGCCCACTCTGAGAATTCTGCTCCTTCTCAGGTATCTACTGGGCTTTGCTGGTGCCAGGTACCGGCCTGATTCTCCAGGGTCCAGAGATCCAGACCCAGCATGGCTGCTGTCCTCTTGGGGGTCCTATGCAGCCACCATCTGCTCCTTTGAGCTTCTGCAGGATGCCCCACTCCCAGTGGTGGCCTCTTCCAGCCTGGCGAAGGCCCAGCAGCTCCACTTCGCTTCTGTTCCCTGCATTAGCAGTGAGGCACTCCAGGAGGGCACTGTGCCTTGTTCACAGCTGTGTTGCCAGCACTGCTATCAGTGAATGCATCCGTTTGGTCTGTTATGGGCCCGTGATGGGCCAAGTGCTGTGCTGGATGTGTAGAACAATGCGACCCCTCATCACAGAGCCTGCTGATGATGGAAGAGCAGTGTCACACTGACTGTGCCTGTGCAGTCCTGTCCTCCTCGCCCATCTTCAGTAGTGTCCTCTGGTGACCCAAGATCACTTTAAAATGATAGATTTCAAACTCCCACCATGCCCTGTGTATCAAGGGGTGTCCCGGTCCATTCCCCATACTCAGAGAGGAGAAGGCCAGTTCCAACTAGTAGGGTTTTCTTCAGTCTCTGGCATCTCTGGGACACTCTCATCACCATGGCAACCTCAAGCATCACAGGGAAGAGGTGATGCTCAATGTCCAGGGTCCATTTCTCATCCTGGTCTATTTTGACTCATGCAGCATCTCTGTGGCTTCAGCCATGCTTTGAGGGTGCTAGATTCCTGACCTTTCTTTGGTGGCATGGGGACGGGGCTGTGATTCTGAAGGGGCAAACTGGGGCCTGCGAGTGTGAGCTACAGGAGGTGCCAGGCTGCACCCTGACATTCAGAGAGCCCCACTGAGCTGCGGGAGGGGAATGTGAAGAGCCAGGGGCTACACATGGCTCAGAGAGGGTGCAGCTGGGCCAGGGACTGGTCCCCAGTGTGCTGGGCAAGTCCTGTGAGCGGGTGGGAGACCCAGCAATCCACCGGGCAGCCATGGGGGTTTATTTGTTTACTGAGATTGCAGAGCTCATGAACGGCGGCCCTGGGAGTAGAGGCAGTGGTGTACCAGTCAGTGCTTAGCACCCGGCTCCCTGGGGTAAAGGAAGGGACACAAACCCTGATCTGCAGTGTGGCCATTCTCCAAGTGTGACTCCCCCCAGCGTGCTTGATTTCCGTCTACCAACCGTTCTGAAATTCAGCAGCTGATTCACAAGGGCCAGCAGGAACTGGCTCCAGGATGGACCTCCCGGGCCCAGACAGAACACCAAAGCTAGGGCCCCTTGAAACTCCCCTTCTGGGGGGCAAGCACAGAGCAAAGCCCTAGAAGTATGAAGATGAGTAGATAATGGGCCTTCCCCGGGGGAAGAATGGCTTCCCACAGGAAAAGGAGGAAGTGTCAGGTCTGTGCTCCTGATGGGAGTGGCTGTGGGAAATCTCCCCCGGGGTGCACATCCCTGGGAAACCTCAGTTTTCTCCCCTCACAGACACACCAGGGAATGTGCTGTGCTGATTTTCAAGGCATCTTTCAATCCAGGCAAGTTGACAGCCAAGATGAACTGTCACAGTCACCGTGCCATACGCTAAATCCTCAGACACCTGTCGGTCTTGTGACCAACGTTCCCCTTGTCTCCTCCTCCACTGCCCGGCTGACCTCCTACCCTCTGCTTCTACGAGTCTTACTTTTCTAGAACCATGTGTTGGTCCATTTTCTGTGGCTGTGAGAAAAATCCGAGCCTGGGTCATTTTAAAGAACACAAGTCATTTGGCTCACGGTGCTGGAGGCTGGGCAAGTACGTGCAGGGTGCTGGCTTCGGGCAAGGACTCTAGCTGCATCGTAGCCTGGCAGAGGGCAGCTCCAGGGAGAAAGGGCAAGTGTGCTGGCTCATCTCTTCTAGCCGTCTGAAGCCACTAGTGCCGCCCGGGGCCCCTGCTCAGGACCTCCTCTAACGCTAGCTCCTGCCCAGTATTATCAGCATACAGGTTTGAGGAACGACTTCAGACCTCAGCAGCGTCTCAGAGGACGGACCCAGGTCCAAGCTCTGTGCTGCTGTCTTCCCACTCTCTGCTCCCAAGGGTGGTCCCAGTCTCCCCCATCCCCTCCCTTCATGCAGCCACTGAGGAAGGCATCCGCCACCCCCTGCCCTTTCCGAGCATTGCTGCCCCTCTCGGAGACGTCCAGGCCCGGACCCCAGCACACTCCCTCGCTCTGTCTCTGTCAGTCCATTTGCTTGTATCTTAGACTGTTGCCCATCACCAACGGGCGCAAACCCTCTGCAGCCTGGGCTCCTGCTTGCAGTGCTCTCTGCAGCAATCCCAGGCTCTAAAGGAGGATCTGTCACCGTGGCCGCCTGACAGTTCATTTGTTATGTTGCATTGGATGTTTGTACCTGGCCCACTGCTCGGGACACGGTGGGTTGGGAGGAGCTGCCCATCCCAGTGGGCTGTGGGACCCTCATGGGACAGGAACCTTTCCCTGTGCCTGTCCTAAGCCTTCGCTCCCAGCACGGGAGGACACACTTTGCATGGGAGATAGATTATCCCCATAACGTGCTGAGGTTATGTGCAGACCCTCATGCTGGAGCAATTAAAGGATGAACTTTCATGTTTCTTGATCTCAAATATTCTTTCCAGTTTCCATTTTTCATTATTCTGTCTGTAATTCATACTAGGAGCATATTTCCTTTCTGATTAGTAGGGCACACATCTTTGATTTTCCAATGGGTTCTGCAGAGGTCTGTGGCTCTTCACTCACCAGAAGTAGGGAATTCCATGTTTATAAAATGTACATCAATCAGACTCATACCTGCTGGCTTTCCACTTCCTCCCCTCCTACTTTTCCTTCCCTGGGCCAACAACCTGGTGCCCTGGACACATTGCACCAGTAAAAGAACTGTTGAGTGACCCTGCCAAGTGATTACCCATTTTCTAGATGGCGATCCAGTCTGTGACACCCTGGAGAAGGGCATCAGAAGGCCCAGGGTTACGTGCTGCGTGTGCACTTTTTATCTGAGAACTCTGCATTGTTAGGTACTTGACATTTTCATATCAGCTCACTTTCGTGTTTATATGGACTTGATTTCTTATAATGTGATATTTCCCCTCGAAAAAACTAACTTCAGTTGTCTTAAATAGTAAGCTATCCTAAAAATACATACCAGAGAATTTGCATGGTGTCATTAGACCCTTATGTGGTAGTAGTCATTTATCTTCATGCCAAGCCTGCCGCACTTCCCCTGTCTAAGGTGGAGGTTGACGGGGACAGGAAAGTGGTAAGGACAGGCCAATGTCAAGCCACGACTGTCCCTCCATATCATCAGTCTGCAAATGCAGATGAGTTATTACTGAGCAAGAAAACAAAAAGGAAAAATGAATGCATGGCATGAATATGCAGCTAAGAATAAATCCAAGTACACAGTACCGCCCTTGCTCATGCTGACCTTGAGCCAAGCAGGCTCATGACGCCATATAGACCTGGTCCTCTCCTTTCCTTTCCAATGCGTTTACAAGCAGCAGGTTCCTGTGCAGCCAGGACCTCTGCTAGTCTCTGTCCATGAGCAGGAGGGCTTGGAAGTGGCCTTTGAAAGCCAGGCCCCGCCAGGACTCACTCAGACGCCGGCGGGGCAGGCAAGTGGGAAATGAGTGGAGGGTGTGGGGTGAGAGATTCCAGGGAGTGGTGGGGACCTTAGCACATCGTCACCTTGTGGGTGGCATAAGTGACGCTGGGGGTGGAGCTGGTAGGGGCACCCAGCTCTGTAGCTCACTGGCTGTCTGGCTGACTCTGTGCCACAACTTGTCATCCTCTTGGTGACAGATGGTTCAAGCTGGACTCTCTTGCAGTCCTTTAATGCCATACGTAGTAGGGGAATTAAAGGAGAAGATGCAGTGGGCAGGATCTGAGGATCAGGAATGTCCTCATTGTTTATCTCCTCTACCAAAATAGAGGCACCATTTTTGGACCACGAGAGATTTAATCACAAAGAATCCACTCAAGCAATATTGGAAGAATGGGAGAATGATGCAACGAAGAATACGTGTTCCACCTTTCCAGTAGTGACATCCTTCACTTGTTCCCATGTTGGGCCACACCGGAAGTCTTTGGATGTTATCTTTTCATTCTTGTTTTCCTAAGAAGGTTTTAAAATTGATCTTTGGAATTGACTTTGAATTTTATTAGATCCTTTTAATGAACCATCAAGATGCTCAGATGTTTGGATTTCTTGATTGTGAGATATGGTTAATCACATTATAAATTTATCATCCACAATGCACTCTCCCTTCTTGGGATAAATCTCATTTTGTCATATGTCATGGTGGAACATTGCTGTGGTTTTCAGCAAGTGACGATGACAATAATAAGAGTATCTGAAGCCCACTGCCTTCCCTCTACATCTCAGTGTCTCTTCTGTATGCAAGATGTGGCTGTTCTTGTCATCCTTCCACCCTGGCATGGACAATTCCTCCTTCACAAAGGGAAGAACTTCACACAGTCTACCTGGGGCCAGGACATGGTGCCCAGTGGTGAGTGGTGGGTACACCTGAAAGTTAGCTCTCATTAGTGATGTTCACTGTGCACCTGATTATTTGCTAGAATATAAATTCATAGACATCAGTAAGCACTCTAGATCACACAGGCTTTTGAAATGTGCTATAAAATTGCCTTTGAGAATTTGTACCAGACAGAAAGCCCCTTCCAGCTCTTCCCGCTAACTCCTTGCTCATTTGTTGGAGGATAAAGATGGTGCCTTGGAGGAGTTTGCATTCACATGTCATAGGCTCCTTTTAATGCTGGTAATTCTTTTGGAAAGTCACTGGCCATTAGGTCGCTGGGTGCTGTCCGAATGAATGTGTGAGTTGCATCCTGGGGACAAGAGGAGAAGCCACTGCTGTGCTTCAGCCTCTGGGGTCTCCAAGCGCCTGGAGGGTGAAGGGTGGGGAAAGACCCTTTTCCGCCCCACGTGCTCCACACTGAGCCTGACCGTCCCTGGGGTGACAGTGTCACACTCCGTCCCCAGGAGGCAGCAAAGAAGAGACAGGCAGCACGGGGGTGGGGGTGTGCGCCCTCCCTGCCCGAGCTCAGGAGGCACTGTCTGCTGAGAGACACCCCTGGAAGGCGGAGTTTGGTGTTGGGCCAGTGGGAAACTCCTGCTATGCAGTCTTTATCTAGTGGCAGCTGCTCTATCTTTCTGCACTCCTATCTGGGGTGCAGTGAGGGAAAAATCACTGACCCTCTCATGATTTCCGTTTCGCCCACACCCTGAAGGTCTGTACCAGGAGCAATGAGATTTCCGAGGAGTCACAAGGCAGGCGTGGGGTTTTGCACCCAGGTGACAATCGAGGGCATCCTGGCCTTTACAGGACCTTGCAGCAGGTGGATGGCTGTGGCTTGTCTTCTCACCCTCACGCCCAGCTAAAGGCAGGCACATGAAATGAGGATCATTTTAATTAAGGCAGCAAGGTGGTGATTTGTGCAGAAGCCACCTGAATGAACAGGTCTCCCTGCATCAACATCATGCAGAAGGTAGAAGGACTAATAAGGTGTGTGCAGAAGTGGTACCTCGGGGACCTACTTTAATGAATATATGAAGTGCTTGTCATTAGCATATCTTCGTTGCTATGTGACCACATACAGCTGAAAACCCATTGGTTCCTTATGTGCTGTGGAACTGGCATCTCCAATCTTGCTTCTATTGTAAATCTGCCTTCCAAATGCTTCCATTTACCTCTCTGAATTACTGCATGTTCCAAATTAGTGGAGCTTGTTTTAATACGATTTTTTTTTTACCTCTTTGAATTAAATTTTCTTTTCTTTTCTCTTTGGTTTTCCAAATTGACCAAGCTTAAAAACATTATTAAATTAGCGAATCTCACATTGCATGCCACACATCCTGGCCTCCAACACCAGCTGCTTCGTATGGGGACCCAGGCCCTTGTGTGTGTTTGTCCAGAATTTCCTCCCACCCCTGCCTGCCTGGTGAGTTTCTGTGTGTGCCACAGAGCCCCACCGGCTGTTCCTCTCTCAGCCTTCCTCAGTTCTGCCCAAGAGATGACGTTTTCTGACTTTAGTGCTTGAAAAAAAACTTGTTTTTCCTAGGGAATTGAAATACTTGTTCCTTTCTGATAATGACGTGTGTGTGCGTGCGTGTGTGTGTGTGTGTGTGTGTGTGTGTGTGTCATTGCTAACATTAGGGCTTTAAATGTCTACCACAGGGCCTCATGTTGGGGCTTGGCTGAGGACTTCTGGGAGGTGACAGAACCTTTAAGGGGGGGCTAGGAAGTGGTCTTTGGGCCCTTGGGGTACAGCTTCTAAGTGGACTGTAGGAGTCCCACCCCTTCTACTTCCTCTCCTTTGCTTCCTGCCCATGGGGTAACCATGGCTAGACCATAACTTCCTGTCTGAATGTACCCTACAAGCAACAGGGCCCCTGATCGTGGACTGGAACCTCCAAAGCTGCAAACCCAAATAAACCTTTCCTCTTCATAAGCTGTTTCTTGTGAGTATTCATTATAGTGACAGAAAGCTGACTGCTAAACCACCTTGGAGAGGCCACCCAGTGCCTAAGAGCAGAGACTCATAGCCAGGTCACAGCTACGAGACTTCAGACATCTCTTGAGTCTCAATTGCATCATCTCTAACACAGGGATCGTGTAGTTCTTTGATTGAAATCGCACACATAGAAAAGGGCCAGGGATTTAGCTCAGTGGTTTCGCTGCTTGCTGCGCAAGTGCAAGGACCCGAGTTTGATCCCCGGTACCAAAAAAAAAAAAAAGAAAAGAAATGAAAGTCGCTGGTGGCTCTATGGCCTCAAAGAATCTCAGCACATACCCCACTTCCTGCTTTGATTTGAGTCTGCATTTTCCACTCTCCTTCCCATCGTTTTTCTTGCCACTTGACATTCCAGTTCCTTGCTCCCAAATCTCTATTTGCATCTTTATCATACTTGGTTTTCTCAGTGGATGTTGTGAGCCACCTGAAGTCATTTGTGGACCTGGCCAAGATGTCTGGAAATAAGCCATTCTATTTTTAAAGCGGTTGAAAGTCTTTGGTGCTCTTTGTGAGGGAGACTTGGTGCCCAGTTCCTCCCACGCACCACTCTTCTCCAGGATGCGGGGTGACACACAGGTCCCCAGGGATCTCTGGCAGATGGGACAGCGCTGCCTTATTAATATATTGGCAAGCACCTCGCGTCTCCCCACACTGTTCTGCCAAGAGCAGTTTTGGAGAGCTTGGCTGAGGTTCCAAAACAAAATGAAGCCTTCTTCCTCCACTCGAATCATGAACCCAGAGGCAGCTGCAGAGAGGGGTGAGCCACAGTGAGTACTACATGGCAGCCCCATGACAGCCTGGCTTGCCCGAGCTTCCTGTTGCCCAGGGTTCAGAGCCCCACTCCCCGGATGTCTGCTGATCTGAGACTGGAGCCGGGCATCAGATGTTAGCGAGCTCCCATGGGACCCTAAGGTGCAGCCACGGAAGAGCCAGCACCTCAGTACCGAGTGGTGTGCACGGCATGGTGCCGAAGCAGGGGCCAGGCCTCTCCTTGGGACCCCTACATGCGGCTGGCTTTGGCTGGAGATGCAGAGGCTGACATTGGGAAGCAGGCTCAGCAAATGAGGGGATCCACTGGGTGGGCCCCATCTCCCCTGGGGCAGGAGAGTAGGTGAAGCAGGAGGAGAGTGACCTGGGCACACTCAACAGGTCCTGGAGGAGGGGGCAGGAGCTCTTCTTGGACAAGGGCAGCTTTGCTGATGGGCAGCACCTGGCCCTAGCACCTGCCCTGTGTGTCGTGGGCACCACCCCAGCCCTGGCTCTGAGTGGGCCCCACAGGTATGAGGGTGGACAGCTTTGGCCCAGACTCAGCCAGGGAGGGAGCTTGCCCTGTTTCTTGCTTAGGAAATGTCTCTTTGGAAAGCCAAACGCAGCTCAGTGATGGGGAGTCGGTTGTACCCCTTAGTGTAGCTCCTGGCATCTTGGACTTTCTGAGCAGCTTGAGTGGATCAGCAGCAAACACGGCTTGGGAGGCTTCTCTAGGCTCCACCTCCTTTCTCCAGAGATGGTTGAATTTAGGCATCAATTTGATTGCACTCCGGATGGCCAGGGAGACAGTAAGGCATTGCTGCTGGCATCTATGGGGTCTCTCTGCAAGGGATTCGTGTTGGAATTGGTGGGGTGGACTTGCCTGCCCTCCCCGTGTGGACATTAGCCACTCCTCCAAGGTGCAAAGAAGTGGAGCAGTGAATTCATTCTCTTTTTGAGCTGGACATCCACTTCTGCCCCCAGACGTCAGAGTTTCCAGGTTCTCTGGACTAAATCAGGTCCCACTAGGACTCACTCCATGGTCTATCTTGCTTCTCAGGCCGGCCCTGAATGACACCAGTGACCTTCCTGGGTCTCTTGCAGATGGCAGATGGTGGGACTGCTAGGCTTCCTTGATCCTCTAGATAGATAGATAGATAGATAGATGATAGATAGATGATACATAGGTGAAAATGAGATGATAGACAGTAGATATAAATAGCAGCTATAGATAGATAGATAGGTAGACAGACAGAGAGATCTCATTGGCTGTGCTTCACTGGGAAACTCTCCCTCACTCTCTCCAAAGACAAGGCAGGGTCTGGGGCCTGGGAGGACATGGGAGAGGAGGGTAATGCTCATGGATCTCACTGGCCTGTGAGGTCTGGGTCTCAGGCGTTCAGGGCTTCCCTGGGCTCTGGTAGTGCAGGTTTTTCACATTTGCTGAGCTGTAATTGAAGAGATTTGGGCCTGGAGGGGTGAGGGGGCGGGTGAGGATGGGGTGCAGTGGCAGTGGTGGTGGTGGACTGCGTGCGTGCGTGCGTGCGTGCGTGTGTGTGTGTGTGTGTTATACTTTTCCCTGGGAAGGCCTGGGATTGGGCAGTGCCCACATCCAGTACTGGGGTTTTAGGGAGAAATCCTTTGCTGCCCCAGAAGATCCCCTCTCTTCCTCTCTCCATCAGACAACTCAGGGACATACAGTTAGGGTGGAGACCTGGGGTAAAGGAATAGAACAGACCAGTTCAGACCCTTCGGGCATCTCAGCCAGGGCCAGAAGGAGTGGTCTCAGCACAGGCGGCCCAGCCGAGGCTCCACAGAGGGCTGGGCCTAATGGCTTTGTAGCACTGAACCCCAGACCTGGCCCCGAGTGTCCTTTGCTGCTTCCTTTGGAGCTTATGCCAGTGAGAGACCGAGTGTTGTGGGCCATGGTCAGCTGTCTTCACACATCACGGCACCCAGCAAAAACAAAAACAGAAGAGAAAAGGAAAGCCTTTCACTCCAATGCGAGCTCCTCTAACTTTCCTCTCCTACAGTGGTTAGCTGGAAGCTTCATCTGGCCCCCAGGAGTGCCCGCGGGACTA